TTAACCTGGATCCTTCCTTCGAATTTACATTGGGAGTACTCTGGTCTAACACTGGAAGTCTTCTGAAATTATCTGAACTTATGCTGGAAGTCCTCTAGACTGACCCTGGAAGTCCTCTGGACTTGCCTTGGAAGTTCTCTGAACTGAATCTGCAAGACCTCTGAGCTGAACCATGAACTCTTCTCGACGGACACTGAAAGTCCTATGAACTTAAATTGGAAATGTGACCCTGGAAATCCTCTGGACTAACAATGGAAGTCCTCTAAGCATGTCCTGAAAGATATCTGCTACTCAGGAAGTTCTCTGAACTTACATTGAAAGCCACTAAAAAAATTATGTAATCTTACCTCCAGAATCTACAAAGCAGTTATGGTGAATTACTTCATTCGAGGATTAAAGAATCTTCCCTCAATAAATTGTAATTTATGCCTTTCAGAATGCTCAAATATTGATGAGGATTTTTGTCATAATTTGCTCTGAATAACCTAGCCAATCGTGTCACATCAAGGAATTTCAAAAACCATCCTTTTTGAAATGTGTTCACTTCCTTTTTTTGTTTATTAATTTATTTGATAAGGCTCTACCGAATTAACTTTACAGAGCCGAGGATTCTTGTTCACCATACAATACATCTTAAAAATATAGTGAAAAGGTACAAAACAATAAACATTTAATCTTCCGCTATCCAATAAGTCTCCTCCACCAGAAAGGGAGCCGCTTCCAGTGGTTTCATTGTAAGGCAGATTCGCCAACGGGGGTCAAAGCGCTTCCATTGCAGCAATGGACGCAAAACGTGGTCAGCACTCACACATTCATCACGAAACGGTTGCTTTCCAATATCGACGACGCGTCGACCGAAAGAACTGCTGATGAAGAACAATGTGGAGGACCACACAATGGTTGCTGTCGAGTAAACAGACGATCGCGTGGCACACATCGAGAATGGCCTGCTTCTGTCGACAGCCGAGTCAACACTGAACACTTGCTGTTGTCCTCTACGACAAATCTTGATAATCAAAGTTGAACACTGTTTAACGCGATGTCTCCAGGCAAAATGTGCAACGACAATCTTGCAATGTTTGAAAAATCATAACTCAGGCATTTATTGGCGTATTTCAAATCTATTGGTGCCACTTGAATCTACAGACTTTAAACATTTATTCTGTATCAGTAGATTTAAAATCTAACGATAAATTCATGAGCATTGTTAATCTGCTGTTACACATTTTACCGGAAGCATCGTGTTCGGAGTGTTAAAGAATAATTTTTGAAGTCCTCCCATGACAATTTTCAAATATTGGTGAAAACTCGAGCAAATTTCGATGGTCTGATTTTGATAGTAGTCAGGAATTGAAATATTGGTTTTCAGCTATACCAACTCCCAGCATTCAGTTTCGATTCTATAATTCTAACATTTTTGAATATGCCCATCATAAACGTTTCCTCAACTCTTCGGGATGATCAAATATTGAAGAGTAAAGAGGTTTCATGAAATTGCCTTTGAGGATCTCCATAAGCATCCGCAATTTGCCTATTTGCCTAATATGAATTTATGACATTTCATCTGTTGCAGATTGAAGCCTAAATTTCGCCCTTCAGTATGTTAATTTGACGATTGATGACGATGAAGATTTTAGAAATAGTTGATCAAAATAATTAAGATGCCTTTCCGGTTGCAAAATATGTTTTCCTTTTTTTTAATTATGGTCAATTTTTAATTCCAAAATAAGACTGATGTATGAAATCTGCAAAACAGAAAGTGTACATTATTTCCTTCATAGAACGAAGGGACCTTGATTTCTGCAATCAGCTCCACTGTGATAGGTTTCATAAATATTCACATTTAAAATATTTCAAAATCTTCCAGTCAGAAATCTCCCTAAATTGTTCATAAATATCACAATGAACTGACTGTTTGTTATTGAAGATGCTAACGTTCCATTTGTTGAAAATGTTGTTTTTCATGATGCATGTCAATTTTCTATTTTGTATATTCCCTTTTTTATTTTTTTTTATTTTATTTTCTTGTCGCTATTCTATACTTTATATTTTATATTTTTTAGTTTAAAGCACTTTTCTGTTTTGTATTTTCTATTTTCTATTTCAATTTACAACTTACAAAATTTCTATTATATTTTCTATTTTCTGTTTTATTTTTTCTATGTTATATTTCCTAAGTTCTATTATCTATTCCCTACTTTCATTTTAATTTTCTCATGTTTAAATTTTCAATTTCAATCTCTATTTTCAATTTCAATTTTCAAATTTCAAATTTCAATTTTCAATTTCAATCTCAATTTTCTCAAGTTTCAACTTAGATTTTTAATTTTCTATTTAAATTTTCACTTTAAATTTTCAATTTTTATTTTCAATTTAAATTTTTAATTTAATTTTTTAATTTAAATTTTGAACAAAAGTTTTCAATTTAAATTTTAAATTCCAATTTTCGATTTACATTCAAAATTTAAATTTTCAATTTCAAATGTCAATTTTAATTTTCAATTTCATTTTTCAATTTTCAATTTTCAATTTTCAAATTTCAAATTTCAAATTTCAAATTTCAATTTTCAATTTCAATTTCAACCTCAATTTTCTCAAGTTTCAACTTAGATTTTTAGCTTCTATTAAAATTTTCAATTTAAATTTTCAAATTTTATTTTCAATTTAAATTTTTAATTTAATTTTTCAATTTAGATTTTGAATATAAGTTTTCAATTTAAATTTTAAATTCCAATTTTCGATTTATATTCAAAATTTAAATTTTCAATTTCAAATGTCAATTTTAATTTTCAATTTCATTTTTCAATTTTCAATTTTCAATTTTCAATTTTCAATTTTCAATTTTCAATTTTCAATTTTCAATTTTCAATTTTCAATTTCAATCTCAATTTTCTCAAGTTTCAAATTAGATTTATAATTTTCTATTTAAATTTTCAATTTAAATTTTCAATTTAAATTTTCAATTTAAATTTTTAATTGAAATTTTCAATTTAAATTTTCATTTTAAATTTTTAATTTTAATTTTCAATTTAAATTTTTAATTTTAATTTTCAATTTAAATTTGTAATATAATTTTTCAATTTAAATTTTTAATATAAGTTTTCAATTTAAATTTTAAATTCCAATGTTCGTTTTAAATTCAAAATTTAAATTTTCAATTTAAAATGTCAATTTCAATTTCAATTTTCAATTTCAATTTCAATTTTCAATTTCAAATGTCAATTTCAATTTCAATTTTCAATTTCAATTTCAATTTTCAATTTCAATTTTCAATTTTCAACTTCAAATTTCAATTTCAATTTGTCGTTACTTCTATCAAACCTATTTTCGGTATTATTAAGTTACTTCAAGTTTATTGTGACAGATGGATGCTATTCAGGACTGTTGACTTTTATAATGATGTATTTAGAGCAGTTTTCCACCAACTGACGTCACATGCCACAAGCATGGTCCAATTTGCCTCCTTTTTTCCCATTCACGAATGACGAATCGTAAAAACGCGACCTTCTCCGATTTGTTTGAAACTTTGCGTAACTGTTTGTTATGGGCAATGTTGCATATTTTAGCTAAACTTCAGCCATTTTGGACATTGTAAAATTTTAAAAAATGGCGCCTTTGAACTTTTTCAAAAATTGTAGCTTGGAAACGGCATTTCTGATCGAATTGATGTCAGAGAAAAAGTTGTAGGGAAAAATAATATCAATCTAGAAAAAATGTACAAAATTTTAGTTTGAGTAATTTTATGTAATTCAAAAATATTAAGCACTTAAATATTTCAAAATGTTCATGTCCATGTCCACAATGGCAAAATTTTAGCAAAAATGTGAATCATTGACCCTAGCAAACAAGTTTCGATTCAAACATATATTTTTTTCGCTATTTGACCTGGAACTGGTCGACTGCACACGAACAACATTAAACCGTCGCTTCTCAATCAGAGAAAAAGGGCTTAATCCTGAATAAGGGGGAGGTGTGGGGATGGAATCATTGCATTCACTAAATGGAACGAATCAGTAAATTGAATGCAGTCGGTAGTTTGTTTTACAAGCTCCGCAAAGAGCTTATGGACCGGTGTTTGTAGTGGATTTTTTTCCATGCTATTTGCATATGTCACACTATTAATTGGAAATGTAAACGAGACATGTCACCCACTGTGCACTCGAATGAAACGGAGTGGATCGGATTTTCCCTTTGCGCTTCATCGAATTATTTTTTTTTTCAATTCGTTCCAACTCGAGTTGGTCGTGAAGATTTATTGTCATCTGCAAAATCCCAAGCCTTCGGCTTCGAACGGGGCGAAAAAAATGATGAATATCACTCGCCCGAACTCACCCTTTTTTTTATGAGTGGAATATGAAATTCCTGCTCCCCTCCAAGAAACCGGGGAAATGTAAGCTCACCCAATCCAAATCTCCGCCTTTTCCCTCTACATAATATACAGTCTTATTTTCCTTTTTTTTTTGTTCCTGTTGCTGTCCTCTGATAAACAAGATTGATCCTTTTCTTCTCGACGAATAAACGGGAAACGGGGTCTTCCAACTTCATAAATAATCGTCTTCATTTCTTGTATGCATATTTTACCGTCATGGCTCAACCGGCAGCCATTGTTCGGAACGGAATTTCTTTGGCGTGTTTTTTTTTCTGATCTTGTTGTTGCTGTTTTGTTATATCATTGTGTCCCCGTCCCAAAACACAGTGCCAGCGACACAATGATCCGAACTTTATTACCGATTTCGAGAGGAATGAAGGGTAAATTTCAAATTTGGTTGATTAAACTCATTTTTCGAGGGGATTAAGTTTAGTGTGCATTTTTATATTCCTTTTCAACCATCCTGCTTCACTCGCGCTATTGCAAATGTAATATGACCGTTATTATGAAGTCAAGGTTAGCGACGTCAGTCTTTCAAGTGGGATCGAATCTCACTCCAGTCGAATGCCTTTTTTTTTTTGTCTATGCAGCTCAATTGTTCTAACCGTTTTCCCTGTCCTTTTCTTTCCAGACGACGCCTCGTCGCACGTGCACGGGATGCTGACACAGGACAACCTCTTCGACGGGACGATCGTGACCAATCTAGAGCAATACTATATCGAGCCTGCCGCCCGGTACGGGTCGGAACTGGAGCGGCAAGGCATCCATACTGTGATCTACAAACTCAGTGACGTCAAGATTCGCCAGGACCACCACAGCCACGGTCCGAAAAAAGCTAGAAGCAGCAGTAGTAGTATTAGTAGTGTGGTGAAGGATGGAGAAGCGACGACGTCGTCTGCTCAGAATCAATTCAATCAAAAGTCTGATGATAGCGGTAGTAGTGAAAGCGGTGATAGTGGTATTAGAAGAAGCAGTAGTAGCGATAGTAGCAGTGATAGGCTAAGTAGGCAAAGTGAAGAGGCAAGGGGAGGAAGAGGTGACGAAGGAGAAGAAAGTGAAGCTGAATTGGTGCGGAGAAAGCGAAGCAATAGGAAGAGCGACATCAAACGGAGGAAACGATGGCTGCCGGAAGAGGTGAGTTGTTATCTCTACGTTGATGATTTCGGCATTAGTCTTTCCAATATCTAGATCCTTCTCCCTAAGAAAGTTCAGATTTTTTTGCTTTTCAAGGTTCAATAAATTTTTAGTATTTACCCTAGTAGAAAATCCTGTCAAACAGCTATGGTAAATTCTTTCATTTGAGGATGGAGAAATTCTCCCGCCTGAAAATTTAAATTGAGTTCTTTAAATTTGAAAAATATCGGTCGCCTGACATACCTTCTTTTTCTGAGTACAAGGTAATTTCTATCGTCCCAATAGTCTCTTTCATCTCGATTTATAGATTAAAAATAATTACAACAGTAATTACCCGCTTCGCTTGTTGACTAAAAATTATCATTTAACAGCTCGCTCTATACTAAAGTACCCCTTGGGGGTGCTTATTCAATATAATCTCACTTATTTAAAATAGTGCCACTGCACCAACATTGATGAACTTTTGGATTACGGCTTCCTATTTTATGCCAATTACGAATATGCAAATTTATGAATACCCCCAACCCAATTTAAGCTATTCAGAATATTCAAATATTGACGATGCTTTGAGGGAGACCCCTTCAGAAAATTCAAAATTTGCCCTACATCGGTGGAGCTAACTGAAAAGTGAGTAAGATTTCAATCATTTTCGAAAAAAAAGTAGCGTCACTCATTCATTCGATATTATCTTCGATTCATCTACTTAGAACAAACTTCATAAAAATCCACAACGATTCGTTTATGAGTTAGCTGTGAAGGTCTTGTAGATAACCAATGTAAACTAATAATCGGGAGAAGGTCAATTTTGCCTATTTCAGTATTTTGGGTATTCCCGAATAATCCCACACAGTGTTGGCAAAATCATCAATCAAATGATATTTTTCCACTCTCATACGCTCTCAATATCACGCGTGATATTGGAACAAAGCATCATACTTGATATTGATTTTACAAGCTCTTTTGATATTGCGAGACTATTCACAACGTGCAAAAAATCAAGCTGAGAGTTGAATCAACACAAACACGATTCCGTTGCACCTAGTTTTCTCTTTTTACTCGTCAGCGATGGCAGCCACGAAGTGACTGCTGCCAGCCGTTGTGGAAGTTTCGGCTGCGTTCGGGTGTAAAGCAAAAATCATGAAACTCAATCTCACCACAGTTGGTTGAGATTTGCAGCTGGTGAGTTTTGAAAGCTTGATATTCCGAGCTGCAATATCACAGCTTGCAAAATCAGCCGCAGTTGAGTGTTCACTCGGCTGTCGACAGAAGCAGACCACTCTCAATGTGTGTCACGTGATCGTCTGCAACAACCATTGTGTGGTTCTCCTCAATGTTCTTCATCAGCAGTTCTTTCGGTCGACGCGTCGTCGACAACCGTTTCGTGATGAATGTGTGAGTGATGACCACGTTTTGCGTCCATTGCTGCAATGGAAGCGCTCTGCCCCTCGTTGGCGAATCTGCCATACAATGAAACCACTGGAAGCGGCTCCCTTGCTGGTGGAGGAGGCTTATTGGATAGCGAAAGATAAAATGTTTATTAGGTTGTACATTTTGACTATAGTTTTAAGATGTATTGTATAGTGAACAAGAATCCTCGGCTCTGTAAAGTTAATTCGGTTGCGCCTTATCAAATAAATTTAAAAAAAAATCAGCCGCAGTTGTTTGCTTGTTGGTTTTTTGTCTACGAAAATCAAGCGTGATCTTGGCCATTGGTGAGATTTGATTTTGCGATATTTTCCCAACACTGATCACAGATAGAGTTTTATAATATGTAAACGAGAACTTTAGGATCTTATCCAGGGACAAGAAGCTATATAACCTTAGAATGAGTTACTTTTTTCAATACTTGGCAATTCTCTACGTGTTTCGAGAATCTCTTTTTCTGTAAAATTCTGGAATCAGAAAATCTTAAGTCTGTCTTAGGCTGTTCCAATTGTAAATTTTTTTCGCTTCAATTGGACAGAAGATAAATTTAAAAATTGGATTTGAGAGTCATAATATAAAATTACAAAATCACGAAATCAGAAAATCAGAATATCATTAATTCAGAACAGTAAAACTGAAAACTAGAAAAGTAGAAAATCAGGGAATTTGAAAATCAGAAAATCAAAGATTCAGGAATTCAAGAAAACAGAATATCTGAAATTCAAATAATCAGAAATATTGAAAACCACATTATTTGAAAATAAAAAAAATAAGGAAATCTGAAATTCAGGATATCATATCAGATAGATAATATGATAATCAGAAAATCATAGCTCAAGAAATTCAGAAAATTATAAAATAAGATAATCAGTTAAGCAAAAATTCAGAAAATCAGGCAATCAGATAATCAGAAATCAAAAAATTCAGAGAATCAGAAAACTAGAAATTATCAAAATCAGTAGATCAAAAAATCAGATAATCAGGTAATCAAAAATTTATAAAATCAGTAACTCTGAAAATCAAAGAGTTATATACAGGTATACCTCGACATAACGTTACTGTCACTTTCGACTTCCATCGTCGATTTCTCGCAAATTTCCATTCAAACAAGGAAAGTCGATGGTGATACGGACAGATGTGATAATTCCTCATTTATTGTAAAAAATAAATTTGTTTGATTGCTATTAGCGATATATTGACGATGGAAGTCAAAAGTGACAATTACGTTATATCGAGGAATACCTGTAGACATACAATCCGAAAGTTATGAAATTAAAAAATCAGCTTATCAGAAATTCAGAAAATCAGAAAACTAGAAAAAAATAAAATCATAATATAAGACAATCTAAAATTCAGAAAATCAGTAAATCAGTAAAATAAAAAAACTAGAAAATCAGATAAGCAGCTATTTAAAAAATCAGAATATCAGAAATTCTGATATCTGAAAATCATCAATCAGATAATCAGAAAATTAGAAAATCTCAAAATCAGTTCAGAAAGTCTAAAATTATGGAAATCGGGTATTCAAAAAATCAGTAAATCAGACAACCTGAAAACCTGAATCAGGGAATCAGAGAATCAGTCATTGAGGTTTTCAGAAAATCGTTATTTCAGAAAGTCAGGAAATCAGAATATCAGAATATCTGAAATTCAGATAATCAGAAAATTAAGAATTTAGAAAATAGAATTATCAGAAAATATTGAATTCTGTTGATTTAACATTCAGGATTTCAGGATATCTCTTTTATAATCTGATATTCAGGAAATTAAGAAATCAAAAAAATCAGATAACTATGAAACTCAAAAAAATTACAGAATCGTAGAGTCACACAATCAGAATATTATGAAATCAGAAAATCAGAAAATCAGAAAATCAGATAATCAGATTCTCAGGAAATCAGAAATTCAGAAAACCTGAAATTCCGAAATTCAGATCATCAGCAAATCAAAAAAAAAAACTATAAAATCAGAAAATCTGCGCATCTGAAAATCAGAAAGTCAGGGATCAAAATATCAGAAATTCAGGAAACCTTAAGGTGATACTCCAAGGAAGCCTTAGCGTGAAACTTTAAAGACACAAATGTCTGATTCCACAAAACATACAAATTTGAAATTGCTACTCCTTGTTTGCTGTGCTACTACAAACAGAGAGTAGCAATTTCAATTTTTGTATGTTTTGTGCAAGCTGACATTTGTGCCTTTGAAGTTTCACGCTAAGGCTTCCTAAGAGTATCACCTTAATATCTGAAAATCATATAAGCGAATAATCAGAAAACTACTTAATCGTAAAATCAGTTAAAAATCAGAAAGTCTGAAATTCTGGAGATGAGGAATTTAAAAAAAAATCAGTAATCAGACATCCAGAAAACTATAAATTCAGGGAATGAGAAAATCAAACATATAGGTTATTAGAAAATCTTAAATTCAGGAAGTCAGGAAATCAGAATATCTGAAATGCTAATAATCAGAAAATAGTTTTATCAGAAAATACAGAATTCTGTTAAACTAAAATTCAAGATTTCAGGAAATAAGGTAGATAATCTGATATTCAGAAAATCAAGAAATCAAAACAATCAGAAAGCCATAAAATCTGAATATCATAGAATCATAAATACAGAAAATTATAAAATCAGAAAATCAGATGATCATGCAATCAAAAAATCAGAAAACCAGAAAACTAGAGAATAATCACATTTGAAAATCAGATAATCAAGAAATAACATAATCAGAAAATCAGAAAATTGGAAAATCAGAAAATCATAAAATAAGTAAATTAAAAAACAGAAAACTAGAAAGCAAATCAGAAAATCAGAAAATCATATATTCAGGAGATTAGAATATCAGAAATTCAGGAATTCAGGAAAACATAATATCTGAAAATCTTAGAAGCACATAATCGGAAAATTAGAAAATCGTAAAATCAGTCTATTTAAAAATCAGAAAGTCTGAAATTCAGTAAATCAGGAATTCCCAAAATCAGTAAATCAGACAACCAGCAAAATATTAAATCAGGGAATGAGAAAATCAGACATTTAGTTGATCAGAAACTCGTTATTTCAGGAAGTCAGGAAATCAGTATATCAAATATCTGAAATTCAGATAATCAGAAAATCACGAATTTAGAAAATAGTGTTATCAGAAAATATAGAATTCTGTAAAGCTAACATTCAATCAATTAATCAAAAAACTAGGAAATTTTTCCTGCGGCTGAAAATCTCCTAAATAAAAAATAAAAAAAAAAACTAGAAAATCAGAACATCAGCTAATCAGAAATTCAGAAATTCAGGAGATCAGAAAATCTGAAATTCAGGAATTCAGGAAACCTAATATCTGAAAAGCATATAAGCAGATCATCAGAAAATTAGAAAATCGTCATATCAGTTAATTCAAAAATTAAAAAGTCTGAAGTTCTGGAAGTCAGGAATTCAAAAAATTAGTGAATCAGATATCCAGAAAACTATTTAATCAGGAATTAGAAAATCGGGCATTTAGAGGATCATAAAATCGTTAATTCAGGAAGTCAGGGAATCAGAATATCAGAATATCTGAAATTCAGATAATCAGAGAACTATGAA